AGGTGAGAGTGGAATGGGTCCAATAATTAACCGCTATTCAATCCACGTGAGCCTGCAGCAGAACCTTTCAGCTGTTTCTCGCTACTGTGGATGGGTTGGATGAGCCGTCATTACTTCTTTTTTGAAATAGTCGTGCTGAAGAAAAAAAAGTTAAAAAATATAATCATTTTTTTCCTCAGAAACTTCTACGACCATACGCCGAATCGAAATATAGAGACCAGTTTGAATAACTATTGTTCTGGACTGAAAAAGGCCTTCTTTTCAACATGAACACGAGGCTAATCAGTCCAGAATTAACAATAGTTATTCAAGTTTATCGCCATATTTCTATTCGGCGTATAGCGGCGAGGATTTCTTCCACGACCGACTCCCGCGTCTTATTTTATATTGCTTACGTATCCTAGCAGGAGTGAAAGGTATTTTTAGAGTCCCTTGCTAGAAAACTGCGAGTCCCTGACTTCTAAAGACCACTTCGGATCGGGTGTAATGTTTTCCCATTTCAGACCACGCATCATTCCCTATAGTATCATTTCTTTGTTTAACGGTTGAACTCGGTTGCACATGAGCAGACACACGAATATGGATACAGCTCAAACAAAGAATCTTATTCTCGAAAGAATGACACGTGATCTGAAATGGGAAAACATTACGCCCGAGCCAAGGGAGTCTATTGGTCACTATTTGACCGAGAAAGAATTAATATTGTCTAGTTTTCCCACACAATAAAGACCAAACCCCTCAAAGGTTTCACTTGGCGTTTATCCTCACATGGACAACGATAAACACCAGTAACCAAGAACAAGTAGAGGGAAGATCTTACAACTAAGCAATCCTGAAAGCACCTAAATGTCTACCTACCCTGCAGATAATGTATTTCCACCGCCGCTGAGGATAAGGTAAGGAGACTGTGATTCTTTCTGTTTCTCCTTGAGCAGAGCAGCCGTGTTGAGGGGAGTATCTACTGAGCTCATTTTCTGCATCGACTGGTAATAAAAAGAAAGGAAAACGCAGAATCTTAACGATGATACTTTACGTCATCATATATTGGTTACCTGTGCGCCTCTTGCACTTCTTTGTTTTCCACCACTTTTGTCTCATAAAAATCTCAGGGATTCAAACAGGGATGGCGGGGGTTACGAGCATCGCCTCTTACGGCCGCTGTGATTGGCGATCAAGTCCTGGCTCGATTATGATGCGATTTCTGTTTTCGAGTCTATTCTAGGATCCTAGGATTCTAGGATCATCAATATAACCGCTAGTTACCTGGCAACAAAACTTCCTCCTTTTTCCTCCTCATCCAAAAATGGATCTCAGAATATTAGTTATTTAGGACTGGTTAGGGAAAAACTGTGCCCAAGAGGTATTGAATATACGTTCGGCGAGGCCGTTAGGACCTTATATAACTTTTTTTCAATTTACTTTTTATCTTATTTAAGAGTTCTGTTGTGGTTTAACAATCTATTATCCCATACAGGATACTGGAATTCGGTCAGCTAGAAAATACCGTCCTCTCGCGAAGCCAATCAGAATGCACGGGTGGCGTCCAGGGGGAGCGCTCGCCTCTCAGAAAGGCGAGCCGGGTTCGAGTCCCGCCGGGTTTGGTGTTGTATGTGAGTAGAGCTCATAATAGAGGTTATAGCAACTTACGACTTCCTCTTGGATTTTCTTGGATCGTTTCTCTGTCTTCAGCTTTGCCGGCATTTTTCCATGGAAACGATGTGACAGATAACGGAAAGCCTATGAAACACATTTAAATAAACTGGTATCAATCAACAACTCTAGCATGGGTTGCTACACATTTAGGCCCCGTCCACACGTATCCGCAAATTTTCTTTTTACGGATACGGGTTGCGTCCACGCGTCCGGAAATTTCTTGATCCGCCCTGATNGGGGGGGGGAGGGGGAGGGTGGAAGTAATATAGTTTGTGTTGTGTTTGGCGGATGAGAAGGGGAAGTTGGTTATGAGTCTCAACTAGTTTTGGCGCGGATTGTAGCTATACCATGGTTTTAAGTGGCATACCATGGGATATCCCATGGGGCACTTGTATTTTTTAGGTACAATATATACACACGAGCCTTTAAGGTCGTTGCACACTAGGGGTCATTCTAGCAGGATTGTTCTATATCTTCACTGCATACTCATTACCTCATCGCAGATGGTTAAGTTATGGGAGAAAAATCCGCGACAATTGAGGTAATAGGTATGTAATGAAGGTACATATGGCGTGGTATGTCACCGCCACCAGGGGAGATAGGTGGGCCCAAAAATATAGAAGTGATCATGCTCTAGATGGGAGCGTATATTTATATGACAGAGACGCAAAGGATCATGGCTATCGATTATAAGCATGATCACGTCGGAATCTGGGGGTTACATAACTTTTAGCGATGAGTTCATTAATTATGCAGTGAAAATATCAGTTCAAAAACGGCTACTTTAATAGCTTCACTACAACCAAAAATATTATAGTATTGTTTTCTCCTTTCAGATCACGTGCCATCCTTTGAGTTATAGAGCTGTTAAGTGTGACGTAATTCGAACGAAAAACGACTTCTGGGTCCAAATTAATAATTTTTCTACAGATATTTTTCTGAGTGTTTCTTCATGGCAGGATTTTCTGTTCATATATCTAATTGTTCAAAGTAGAGAATAAATTAAGAGAATAAGTTGTGGCAAGATCTTAGCGATCTTTTTGCTTGTTTGACCGGCATTAATTCGTCGCGATTGAAAAGGGCCGTATTATATTTTGTTTTTCGCCGGTAACGGTTGGGAAAGTGCTATTAATTAAGATATATGCAACGAATGAAACTCAAACAAAAAAGTTAGCGCCAAATACATTACGCCTAATCTGAAAAAATTGAAAGTTCAAAAACTGAAGAAAAAAAAAAAAAAAAAAAAAAAAAAAAAAAAAATCGATACGTGTGGACGGGGCCTAATTCATTCGTTTTCTTTTGTTTTTACTTTGCCTGTTGACACTAATTATACAACTTTGGTTTACGGACAAAGTACAGTAAAATCCCTCTAACGTCATGTAATGGCATCATAGAACAAGAAGAATAAATAAAGAAATGAATAAAAATAAAACAAGAAAGACTGTTTTAGCCTGTTACCTCTTTAGGTGTCATTTGTCGTCCATGTTCATCTACGTAATCCAGTTTGATGTTAGGTTTATATCCATCCTTTTCCACTCGATACCTGTCTCTATCTCTGTCATAGTCACGGTCACGCTCTCTGTCCCTGCGACCATACAACGTATTTAAAAAACAATATATAACAAGAGACCTCTAATAGCTTCTCCAGTGGTAATATAAATGACAGCCCTTATGGTCACAGATTGGGAAGAAAAGGGAAGGACAAGACTATAGTGGGACAATCACAACAGATCTGCAGCCTCAATTTCCAATCAAAAGAGAGGGATACGAAAACACAAGCCGTACTTTAATGTATGTTTACTGTTCTTGTTGGATTGGATATGAGTTTCCTAATTGGCTAAAACTTCCGACCACACTTGCGATTCCGATTCTCCAGTTCGTCAAGATTATAAGCGATGGAATCGGAAGGAAAGGGAAGAGAAACCTCACGATTATTCTGATTCCATCGTCACTATAACCTCGGCTTCAATTCAAGGCTAGTGATACTGCACGTTACGCTTGCAATTCCGATTCTTACTCTAGGTAGCAAATAAGCGAACAAATAAACAAACAAACAAACAAGCAAACAAACAAACAA